AATAGCGAAAAGTTCACGCAACTAGCCTCAGGGCAAAATGCCGCTAATTGAAATGAATTCATTTTTATAAAAATTTATTTATTTATGATATAATTTTATTTCAATGACATAAGCGAACAAAAAACAATCAACCTTTACCATCGCAATGATATTTCCAAATTTATTAGTTGACCACAAATTCCAATGCTTTGTTTTGGACTGCAATTTTTAAATAACTTCAACCCTGTCTCAAAGGGTGAAGTAAAGGAATATGAATATGAAGTAAAAATGTCCTGTTCAGCTTGTTCCAGAACGATCCAAAAGGCTTTATACAAAAGTGCACTCGTCGAAAATGTCAAAGTGGTCTTGTCAAAGCAAAGAGTATACGTGAGAACTTCTCTACCTCCAGAAGAAATATTAGATATGATATTGAGAACTGGACGAAAAGCCAAATTTCTTGGAGAGAAGCCGTTTCCTTTTAAATAGTATGATTTTTATAATATGATGACCAAGTCAGTATAATCCATATACTAAAACAAATATTTGGATTAGATGTCTCACTTTCTGAAAGATTTATGTGCTACCCAGAGCTTAAAACTGGAGTTCAGGAAATAGGTGAAGAAATTGTTAGGCGTGTCTCCAGGAATTAAGAAAAATACAAATTATGTGTCAATTTTTTTATCTACTCCTAATGAAGCTGTAAATATGTTTCGGTTATACTTCTCTAATATTTAATTTTTCTCAAGAAAATATATATTTATATAAAAGTTCATTAAATTATCATTATTACTATTAATATAATAGCTATAGTTCTAATGATTTAATCGTGGTTGAACATTAGATATTATATACATATCTAATAATAATTACAAAATGTAATATAAAACTAAATACAAACTAGTGGTGTAAGGCATCATTAAATTAATATTTTAAAAATCAAAATTATTTTCTATATATATATATATATATATATATATATATATATTAATTAAAAAAAAATTTTCTTGGATAATAAAAAAATATAGTTTCAAAAAGAGAGTGTGTTGGGACTTTTAGTCCTTGATACTTCGTTGAACCACAAACTTCAATCACAAAAACAACAGGATTTGAGTACCATTTTAATTATTTTTCAATCCAGAAAAAATGTTACATTTTACACCCGACAAAATGATCTTCAATAAAATTTGCAAGCGATACAGAACAAACAATAAATTTAGGTATTGTTGTATGGTGAAATGTATATTCGATGGCTTTGTTTACCGGTTTATGAGCTTTAGAGATATCCAATTGGAATATAGAGAGGATCTCTATAAGGGGAATACAAGTCCAATACAATATATGTGAATTATATCTCACAACCGACCTAATGGTCAAGCTAATACGGTTTGCTCTGCTTAGAATTGAATTTATTGTTGACAAAACGATCGTGATAACATTCTAATGCACAAATTTACATTGTTCAGAAATACATAAATTATTTGATGCCAATTTAGACAATATAACTTTTAAGTCAATTTTATGAATATGAGTTCTTATTAGAGAGTACATAAAAGTTGAAACAATAAATTTACTCTGCTATTGGAAGTGAAGGCAATGGACTTCTAAAATAATATCGTATTCATGGTGTATCAATATATGTACCTATATATTGAAAATAGCCAATATTCGGTTCACAAAAGACTTCTACATCTGCATAACATGTTCAAAGCGACAGAACTATTTCAATTGCATACAATAAGTGAATATCTACTACTGAATATTCGCTATTACTAGAAAGCAAGGACCTTTCATAGCAAATATAGGTCGAATTATATTTTACTGTAATGCAAATAAATTACTACCTATTATATATATGTAGAGAATAAAGAAAGGACTCTACTGAGCAAAATCTTAAAAATGGGGAAATCTTAAAAATGGGGAAGGGAGCAAACCCCTTCTGCAAAATAAGTGCCTCCAAAATTGGGCCAAAATCGTCAACAAAGATTATAAATAGTAATATTAGCCATCTTGAGAATGTTTTAAAATTATGAAGTGATGTCAACTTACGAAGCCATAATTATTTGAAACATATCGAAAAAATTGAAATATGACCCTAAAGTTACGTGTGCCTATACAAGATTAAATATAAATGTTATATATTAACAAAATGTTAAATTTAGGAGAATTACCATGCTTCCAAGCATACTTCATGTTTGATTAAACATTATTATAGTGTAGTCGAAATTCTGGTCTCAAGGACTTAATAATATGGACCAGCACCGCTTATATTGTTCCTTAGCATTAAGTAGATTCTCGACATAAGGACGTAGTGTACGCCAAATTATAATTTGTTATCCTACGAGGATTACTACGATAGCTCATATACTTAGAATCTTAACTACATGGGCAGAGTTCAATTTTGGAAGAGAAACGTTTAGTGGTTGTGCATATTTAAGTATATAAATTTCTAATACTATTACGCAGTTAAAACATGTTACAGTTATATAGTAGTAAATCAAACAATCTAGAAGCTATTGATATATCCACCAAAAACTGTTCGGGTATATCTTCTAAACTATTTCATACATGACATGACATATGACATTTAATCAATCGGGAGAGCCTGCGATTATCGTCGGCAATGTTCGCTCAGACATGTGACGTCACATACCCTTCTGCGTTTGAGCACTTACTTTGCGCTCGACTAGCGCTAGTCCATGTAATATAAGGTCTGTGGCTGGTTCACAAATAATTAAGACAACTTACTATTACATTGACTCTGTGATGTCCCCAATTTTTCCCGAACCAGCAAATTATTAACAATCCATCAGATCGGTACGAATGCTTTACCGCCGATGCGCTTTGTTACCGCGTGACAATGCGTCCAGTAACGCGCATCTCCGTATCCTGGTTGTCGATGATGTTTATGCTTGTCGCGTATGGGGAATCCGCCGCCCACCGGGGGGCCGATTGGGGATGCATTAATGGTCCTTTCCAGTTATGATCACGTACTCGACCGCAGAACCGTCTCTCGGTCAGCAGGACGAATTGAATATTAATGACGGCGGTTGCAGCAGCGGCTTGAGCTCCATATATATATGCTCCACATAAATTATATCACGATCGTCAAATTTGCTAACCGATGTCCTTGTATGAAGAGATTTTGTGATAACTGCTAGAGCAATGAAATTAAGTTGTCGAGGATTGATATATTTTTCATGAAATATCCAACCAGAAAAAACAAAACTCGAGCAACCTCAAAGTTGAGTAACAGAACTCCATTTTAGACTCCATTTTTTTAGATTTTTTTCTAAATTCGAGTTAGTGGAACGGTAAAGGAAAATCTCAAAAACCTTGCAATGGCTCATAGACTTTTTGTTACTATATTTTACCCGAAGACAGCAAGGTCCCATGTCAGAAGTATCTTTCTTGTAAATACTTTGGAGATTCCAAGATATAAATAAATAATATATTTTTTGAAAGTTCTACGCAGATAAAGAAATGAAATGGATCAAAAATAAAATAGATTCAAAAAATTCAATCCAAACATATGACTTCTGCTTGAAGTTCTGTAATTACTCAAGTTTTCGCAATGAAGTCCGAGGCTAGTTTGAATTTAATTTAATTACGTTTTCTTTCTCGTGAATATTTTGAAGATCCCTAGAGATGTTTAATCGCCTTTCCGCATTCCTTTCTCATACCTTTCAGTCGCAAGACATGCCGTTCCTTCCACGGAACGATTTAAAATGCATTAAATGTATTTTTAAAGTATTAGAAAATCGCAGAGCTTCACACGGCGCCGAAGTTTTGTCTTTCTTGCAAAAGTCCAAACTAACTTTTTGCATTAACGTATAATTCGATTCCTGCTCCCAGAAGCTTTGTTAGTTTCGCAGAACATATTACGGATGTCAGAGAGCTAATTTCGATTCCCTGGTTGCTTTCTGGAGAAAAAGTATATGTTAATTGATAGAATAAATATGACGTATTGGTATCTTTTTAATTCATTATTAGTAATTTACAGGGCAGTAGTGTTATCCATTAAATTCTGAACTTTTTAGTGCAACCTTGAGCTTTGGTGAAATTGGGATTAATTTTCGGATATTATAGTAAATTGTTGATTTTAAGCTTTAGTTAAGCTTTGAATTCGTAAATCGTATGTAACATTTCTAGAACCCCTGACAAAAATAATAAAAATTGCCCCAAGGTAAATTAAGACTTTTTGTTGAACTATGAATTTAAATTTCAAAGGTCGACTGAGAGAAAATAAAAAAAAAATTCCAAGTGTCCTTTAATAATAATAATACTAAATTTCATTACAGCAAAATTTAAATTTAAAAGACCATTTCAAAAAAGTATTAGGAAGTCTTGCATGTGGTTTCCATTAACCTTTTTGTGTACACAACTTTGTGAGTCTATTTGCGTATTCAAACTTTAACCACAGACGTCGTATTTTAAACCAGATTTGATAAAAGTTTCTCTTGATCGAATATACTGTTGTGGTTTATGGTTCTCAGAGGCTGCTCTTAATACGCCAAGGTTTTGTGTGAAGAGAGACAATAATGATTTTGCTAAAATAGGAAAAACAATTGAAAAAATCTCAACGAAAAATAATTATTTTAGCTGATTGTTTCGACACTAATTGCTAAATGTTACTTTGTTGCAATATTATTTGTTGCCTTGTGCTAAATTCATTCGTCTCTATAAACACACCTAATCTCTATTTACTCTACCTAATCTCTATTTACGTTTATTGTCTTTAGTTGCACTCTTTATATTTATCTTTATATGTCGCTATTTGTCTCAGAAAATATAATCTACTCACACACATTATTTTTTTTTTGTTCTATCCGTATGTCAGGCTACTTAATATTTGCTTTTGCATTTCAATTTTGAAATTATATATGAATGTCTTTCAATGCTCTCGATATCACATGTCTGGTCATTTTAGGTGTACTGCAATAAACGGTAACACGTTTTATTTTAGATCCCGCAAACTCTTTTTATTTACACATTACTGATACTTTTAAAATTAGTTTAAATTAATGCCACGCACACCCTGTCACGATTTGCTGCGCCTTTTATTAAAATCCACCGGACTGAAATTTGAATATGAATTTGTAGCTTTTTTGCTAGCACTCTTTGAAGCATTAATTGTTTTTTTTTTATCTAAATTGCAAATACTCCTTGCAATAATTGCAGAGATTCGAAACATTCATATATTTGAAATTGTAAAATGAAGTCTATGGAGTAATTAACAAATTATTCATCATCCCCTGCAATGAGCAAATAATTGCTCAAAACAGATTTTATGAATTAGAAATTTTTCAATCTCCACACGGCTTTTATCACATCATCGCAATACAATTTGCAAAATCCACGCACTCACATGCATCCCCAACGAGGATTATACCTTACAAAAGCAGACGGCTTCCAAAGCTCGCGAAAGTCGCTAAATAATCGTGAAAGCACCAGAGTTTCACCAACAAAACTTTTCCCATGTCATTTCACTTCTCGATTTTGAGTGTAGAATTCGTGTTCCCAAAATTCAATGTAATCCGAATGTAAACAAAATGAGAAAATACTCTGTGCTCTCGTCGTTCGGAGTGGAAGAAAGCGGTTTTATTAGATTTGCATATTGTTTTATAAAGCATAGGAAATCTGTTTACCTGATGTGTACGTAAGACACATCAAGTATTCTTCTTGTTTGGATTTGAGAAAAACCATTACTGAAAGAAATAAAAAATCAATTTACAAATAATCAATTATTTATAGTTGATCATGATTATATTTCACATTGCAATAATTTAGAAGGCTCATGATATATTACAAGATCATATATGGTACTGCGCCTATAATATGTGCGCTTAGAATATAACCATCAAATTACATTACAAAAATAGATAATTTCACAGACAGTTGAGCACGTTGCATAATCCCCAAAATGGCTCACTTATCTCGTTTAATACGCGATCATCATAATGATATCATCGTAAATTCACCGCAATTAATTATAAATCCTAGAGAATTTAATGACGCATTTCCATCTCCTAAGCTTCATAATAAAACTGTATCGAGCTATCGTTTCGTGCGGCAAACTGCACATAATTCACGGTACTTAGCAAACCCTCAGATCCAGCCAAAGATGTCCAGCATTCGAAGAAAGGACCCAATTTAAATTTGATAAAGTAGAGAAATAAATTTCATAATAATTCTGATGTGGCAACCTACTTGAAAACTGACAAAAATATTAAAAATTATTTAATATATTATATATTATATATTAATATATTATTAATATTAAATTTATTTTAAAATCTATACGTTTCGACTATAATCCTAGTCTTCATCCAGTGGAGACGAAAAAGTATGATTTGCTTTTTAAAAAAGTTATTTTACTAAGACACTAACATGTGTCAAAATAAATGTGAATTGTTTGCAAATTTATTTATTTATTGCTTTCTAAGAAATTTGAAAATACTATCCAGATAACATATATTGAATTTGCACAACAAACTGAGATCATTTCCTTTATTTATTTATTTCTCGTTATAAATCATTATGAAAGATCCTTCAACGACCCATCTTTTGAATGAATTTTCTTCAAAATGTAGTATGATCGGATTAAAAATATTGATGTTATGTTTTAATGTGTTTATGTGATCTACTAGCATAGTTTTGAATTGTTTGTTCTCGTTGCTGAAGTCGTTTTGTTAAGTTTTGGCCAGTTTCACCAATGTAAATTGATCTGCAATCTAAACAATTGATTTCATAGACCAAGCTTTTAAGACTTTCGATATTAAAGCAGTTTTTGTTTCGGTAGAAGTAGTGTTAGACGTTGTGCTAAAATTGTTAACTTAATTGATACATTAGATTCTTCCAAGGAAAATGGAGCTTTTTAATGTATAGCTCAAATTTTTTATGTCGGGTTAAAAAATCTATGTTATGTTTTAATGTGTTGTTGTGATATATTAGAACAGTTTTATTTTTGTTGCTTAATTAAAATCGTTTCATTAAGTTTTGGCTAGTTTCACCAATGTATATTGATCTGCAATTTAAACAATTGATTTGATAGACTAGATTTCTAAGACTTTCGATGTTGAACCGAGTATTTATTGTAGTAGAAGTAGTGTTAGTCGTTGTGGTTAACAAAAAAATTGTTAACAAGCCTGAGTCCTAATTTATAAAATAGTTTCTTACTAGGAAAATAAAGCTCTTTAATAAATGGCAAACAAATGACACCAGAGTGGGTCTCTAAGCCAGATTAATTGTAATGGTCAGTAGAGTTGTTAGTTTCATTTAAGGAATTAGTAAGTATGTTACTATATATATATATATATATATATATATATATATATATATATAATAGCAAGACTATTTTTTCAAAAATATTAGTTGCTAGTTAAATTTTTCCACTGAGTTTGCCACCATTGATCTACGACAAAGCAAAAAACTTTTGCAATAGGACATAAAACCGAATAAGAACGCGAGCAAAGAGTTACTGCCCGCATACACAGACTCACAATCAGATGTAATCATCAAACTTATTGTTAACATAAACCTTACCACTTTTACGACCTGTTCAACACCTCCAATCTGAAAGTAATGTCGATTTAACTCGGGTCGTATAACACGTTGGGTATGACGGTGGCAGAGACAGAAATTGTGCAATCAGAAAGATAATTCGGAAGAAAAAATATATTTATATATAGATTTGAAACTGTCCTGACTACAAAATGTAACAAATATTATTAGTGATTTACAAGTATAGAAACATGGAGTGCCTAGCTTCACCAAGAAATCTAAGATTCAAAATAACTTTATGGACAACCCTATATGTAGCAGAAGTGATTATGTGCAAGGAGAAGAAAACTGTGACTAAAAATATTGTAAACATTTAGTATTAACAATTAATATTTTTATTGCAACTTTATTGGTAAAGAACCAAAATTTTCACTACTATTAATTTACATTTAATAGCTTACTAAAATAATTCCAATCATCTACTAAAGAATGAACTGTATTTCGAATACCTTACTACCATTTCATCTTATAAAACTGGTTCTAATATTGCAAAAGTAATGAGAACAAAGAAGTATTACATGTTCCGAGTAGTACGTGCACAGGATTACACGAGAGAAGATGTAATGATTGTTTGTGTTTCGTCGATTTCAAAAAAGACCTGACCTGATGCCTTCGACAAGGCAAAAGAATAGCCGGCAAATCTAGAAAGAGAGGCTGCTCCTCAGCTTCAAGTACCAATCAGTAAGCAATGACTTGCTTACGTGACCGAATTGAGAAATTGAAGCACCTTCCATCCATTCGATCACATATGGTAAAGGAAATATATATATATATATATATAGATATTTTTTACAAATTAGTATTTTTATTAATTATTTATAATATATTAAAGTACTAATAAAATGATGAGGATCAGACTAATTGATTATGCTGTCACCATAAAAAGTGAAGACAACTACTTTTTATTTTGTGCTACAATAAACTTTCAGTAAATTTCATAAAATTAACTGCTTAAATTGTGACTAAATATATATTGGCAACATGAGATAAAATTTAAAGTCTTTAGCAGTACAAAACTATATTAACTTTCCTGAGGGTAAGTTAAAGTAATCGCAAAAAATTCGGAACTATTTTACGTTTCGAAGGTTTCTGAACATTTTGCCATACCTTAGAAAAAATGGATGTACGTGTGTTTCGGTGCTTTTGTTTCGGTAAAAATAGTGTGAGTAGTTGTGATAAAATTGTTAACAAGTCTAAGTCCTAATTTTTAAAATAATTTTTTACTGGAAAAATAAAGATTTCTAATGTATGGCAAAATGTGTGAGTGTGTACGTGTGGGAACAATTTGTGTCGACGTTTTCAGGAGCACGGTTTAACCGATTTGAATGATTCAAGAATTCGATTTGTATTGACAAGAAGACGTGTTGATTAGTTTTTGTCAGAGGCAGGTCTAGCCGAGAGCCGGCGATGCGAGGCAAAAAGTGCCAATAGTGGCAACACAGTTATTTTAACCAATTTAAATGATTCAAAACAAAAAATTGATCAAATTAGAAAAACAAGTCGTTTAGATAATAATAATGTTCATTAGACATATGCACATCAAATAATCAGATATTTTTTAAAGATTTTAATAATAACATGTGCAAATAGGTACCAAGGATTTATAATGTTTAAAGTTCTCTTATATAGTTTAGACAAATTCCCTCTACCTTTTGGTTTCCCAAAATTTTCGAAAATATTCTATTTAAATAAATCAAAATTATCAAAAAAAATGAAAAAAATAATTGTTTAACAAGAGTCTTTCGTAACATAATAAATTTATTTTATCAAAAAGTCTATAAAAATAAGTAGATTTTAAAAAGACCTCACTGTTATCAGTTCGTTTGAAGTTACATTAGAGTTTAGTGCTTTAAATTTAATAATCGTTGTCTTATCATGATAATTAAAATTGCGGTAAGTGTTTTCATCATATCTACAATATTTATACGGAAAAATGTTTGTTTACCAATAAACTTTGTTTTTGAGTATCAGCTTCTGTAATATATCATGCATAGTTCCAAGAAAACTCAAAATTTGTGAAAATACACATTCTGTTCATTTTATAAGTCGCATACTTTATAAATTAATATATCGAATATATTTTCCAATATTTATTAAAAGATAATATATATCCAATTAATTAATTAAAAGACTTCAGTAATTTTATTGAATCGTTATAATATTTAGTATTACATTTAACACTTAGTTCTTCAGACTTAATCACTATGCCTAGAAATTCTGAATAAAATTTTAGAATTCAAATATTAAAAACTAGATACATTTTCAAATCGTGGAATAAATATAAGTAAGTGAATTAGAATATGATTTTTAAAAATTTGCCACGACTATTTATTTCCTATATTGGATCATTTTAAGTAATCTACAATTTATACCATAATTTTGGTTGAATTTCTTTGTATTATGATATATCGTAATGCTGAGTTGGGAAAAAGAAAAATACACATATAATATATAAAATGTTATTTTTTTATCAAGATCAGAAACTAATTTATGAGTTAGTTCAATAAACTTTGCATTTGCAATAAAAAATATTATAATATGAAATAATCTTTACTCAAATAAACTCAAACAACTATCTCGTTTTAATTATATTTCTCCTAATATTTGCGTCACAAACTCGAGTACTTTTTCCTCGTTTATTATCAAACAATACAATTGCTGAAATTAATTTCCTAGAATTCGTTAAATCGGGCACGTTTCATTAAATAATAATTATGTAGAACCATATCAAATAGTGATTATCGGCATTAAATTTATCTCATCATTATCTTCAAGTGGTCGACACTTGGTGTATATAAGGATTGTTTCGTTAAAGTTTCGACATATAGTTTGTGAAAATGGTGAAAATAATTGCATTGTGTTTGGCTGTTTTGGCTGTTTCCGCAGCAGGTAATAATTGATAATTATTTTATAATTTATAACTACCTGGCAACAGATAGTTTATTGTTAACTTTTTTACCATTATATATAGAAATATGAGTTCACTTATTTTTTATGCAAATGGTCGTTGCATCTGGATTATGAACAAATTGTAAGAAGTTTTGCATCCAAAAATTGACTTTCTAGTTATTTTCTAAATTCAATATCTACATGTACAAATGCAAATTTTTGAAATGGATAGTTCCAAATGTTTTTTTTTATTTTCAATTATTTTTTCCAGCGGAGCCTCTCCCAGAAAAAAGCACCCGTGTCGTAGGTGGTGTCAATGCTGCCATTGGCCAAGTACCTTTTATGGTGTCTTTGAGAACCAACCAAGGACACTTCTGTGGTGGTGCCATCATCAGCAATCGTTGGATTCTTACTGCTGCTACTTGCGTGTTAAAGTAAATATTTGGATACTATATAAAATATATTTTAGTAACTTTGTTTAGTTCGTCTTGAATACAAAGTGATCCTACGTCCATCAGTTCAGCTGAGATTGATTTATTTTTGGAGATAAAGTATTGACCAGTGTTTTGACCATGAATTATTTTTAATATCCAAGTAGTTTGACCTCATTTCCAAAATATCACAATAACATAGACAAAGCCCAAATTTAATTTTCATTTTTTTAGTAAATATCCAAATGATATTCTTCTCGTCGTTGGAACCAACACTTTGAATGCTGGCGGAGTAGGATACAAAGTTGCCCAAATAATCGTTCATAACCAATTTAACCAGAACACATACCACAATAACATCGCTTTACTAAAAACTACATCAAATATTGTATACACAAACTATGTCAAACCAGTTGGTCTGGCAAGCTATGATACACCAATTGGAGCAGTATCCACTCTGGCTGGATGGGGATACTTATCTGTGAGTAGTAAATTAAAAATAAAAAATAAATTTAGTAAACTCGGCCAGAATCTGTTTGAGTCTACTAAATTTGTAATTTTGTAAACATTTATTATTAATTATTTTAAATTTCTTTCCAGAATGGCGGCCAAATTCCCAACTACTTGCAAATCGTCGACACGTACACCATTTCTTACGAGCAATGCAGAAATGCTTTGATCAATGTTAACCAGATCGTACCAACACAACTCTGCACATATATTGCACCAGGAAAAGGTGCATGTGCTGTAAGTATAAATATTTTATAAATTTTCAAAATCCAAGGCTGAAAAATCTCGTCAACCCAAATTTTCGTACTTGGTTCTTAATTTTTTTTTTATTATTTTCCAGGGTGATTCTGGTAGTCCTTTGGCAGCAGGTGGCCAATTAGTAGGTATTGTTTCCTGGGGTGTCCCATGTGCCACTGGTGTCCCAGATGTCTACACCAGAGTCTATGCTTACCGCGATTGGATCAGATATTACACTGGATTTTAATCTCCTAAACTCATCTCATTTGTTATATTGTAAATTATGTAAATAAATATGAATAATGAAGATACTTGTTATTAACTCAGGACTTCTATTAAGAAAATGTTGTAAACTCAATATTTCATTCATTTTACTTTAAAATTAAAAAAAAACGTTATTTTTAATTATATGATAACCAATTTTTTTATGGCAAGGCAGACTTCAGATGATGATATATGGCTTCAACCTTGTGACTATTTTTACATGTTAATTTCTAATTTGTGATCATTTCTGAAATGCTCATTTTCTAGCTTTGTCATGTTAATAAATCACACAAATAAAATTACATGAAATAAATGAAGGTGATGTGATTTAAAACAATATCCCGGAAAAATAAACCAATTAGATAAATATTTCCGGGTACTTTTGTACTCAATATAATTTTTTTCAAAATTTACTATCTAGTACAGGCATTTTGGTAATTACATCAATTATTGCAGATCCAAAATTAAAAATCAAAATAAAGAAAATACAGTCACCATCTTTCGTTCAAATTCGGAGCAATGCAACCATGGGTGTAAATATTGAATTCCTTTCAAATTGAATATAAATTTTTAGCGTTCGATCATTAGCATTTATTACATTACAAACTTATTTTTACATTTAACCAAACCTGTCCGTGGTTTAGTGATAGAAGCTTTGGCCTTGCAACTGCAACCTTTTCGGACAGCCAGGTATCAAACAGTATTGGTATCAAAAACAGGATTTAGAGTGAAACTAGACTGTCAGAATATTATATTTGAATTACACTAGCTTTTTTAGCTTGTATCGGTGTTTTAATATGTATAGAAAATATCATTACCAAATGTTTAATGTAATATACATAAAACGTATATATATATATATATATATATATATATATATATATATATATATACATATCAAATATATCAATTTATATGTACATTATATCAACAACTATTATTTCTCAATCAGATTATATATGGCGCATTTCACAATCTATCATAATTAAAATCAAATGTATTGATAATGATTCCCACAAATCAAAATTTTTAGAAATCAAAACATAATCATATATAATACAATGGCAAACGTAACTATATTTATTTTCTCAATTTTGATTGCTATAGCTCTAGGTAATAATTTAGTGGACCAATACTTTATTGGTATAATATAGATCAAATATTTTTTACATATATTCAGATTTTTTTTACATATTTTAATATTATATTTTTCGCAGGTTTTCATATAAATGATCATAAAATTGCAGAACCTAACAGCCGAGTTGCTGGTGGAGCAAACGCAGGAGTTGGCCAAGTTCCTTACCAAGTATCCATTAGATCAATTGATGGACATTACTGTGGTGGATCAATAATTGACCATCATTGGATTCTAACATCTGCTAATTGTGTTCATTTGTGAGTATAATCCAGTAAATTCCTCAAAAAACATAAGCAAAAACAATACTAACTTTAGATAACATGTTTCAATGGATAGGATTTAGTTCTAGGATCAAAATTAGCACAGTGTTTTTCACGAATGTTTCAATTTTTCATTAAATAAGTAGACCTGCATCATAATTATCATAAACTTTTATGATAATTACAATAATCAGAAATATGTATCATAAATATTTTTTTTAGAAAATCTACCAATCAAATACTGGTAGTCGTCGGAACCAACTCCATAGTAAATGGAGGCGAAGGATACAATGTGGCGCAAATTATTGTTCATCCAAATTGGAACTCAAATGATTTCACCAATGATATAGCTTTGATAAAAACAGTAGAGTACATAAAATATACCAAATTGGTCCAACCAATTATTTTGGCAAATAATGATACTTCAATAGGACAAAGCGCAGTATTGAGCGGTTGGGGCTCAACAAGTGTAAGTGTAATATTCAGTATTTTATAATTTGTAAGATTATTTTATTATCAATGTTATCACTGATATCAAGCAGTACAATTCCATAAAAAAATTGATAATTTTATTTGTTTGCCTGGATATAGCCATATTCATATTCTCTAGCTACGTTATAAATAAAAAATGGAAATAATAATTAATTTAATCACACTTTTTTAAAAATCGAACGATCTGTAGTATAATTTATGATTTTATTGAAAATGTAACATAATTAATACAGGTACTTAATTTTGTGCAACATTATTTCAGCATCTACATGTATTTATGGTATCAAATGGTACATTTCAGACCACTAGATTTACTGATTATTCGTATTTATTGTCAACCAAAATATACATTATTTTTTAAGACAATATGCTGATATTTAAGTCTTTGAGGAGTTGATCTCCAATCCTTTTTTTAACAATTTATTTTAGATGATATGGCCAAATTTTTCTTAATCTTCAAGGTGATTCCTCACTCAAATCGTTTAAATATTTGTTCGAGTAACCTGGTAAATTATCGTGATATTTTTACTTTTTTCTGTTATTACACATCATTAAAGTTGTTCAATAATGTAGGGACTAAATTCCATCACACAGCTCTACTAGATTTAGTAATCAGACATACAGTTTTGCCTGTAATACCATCTAGTATTTGATTACTTTCTTCTTGATTTTTTAGGATAATGGAGTTTTATCACAATTTCTGCAAACTCTAAATGTATTCACAATTTATGAGAATGATTGCGACTATTTAGTCTCAAATGTTCATCCTATAACTTCCAATCAAGTTTGCACGTATATGGGGCAAGGAACAGGAGCTTGCAGTGTGAGTATCCAAAATATTAATTAATTACAAACAATTCAAGAAATAAATCTGCTGATTCCCTCTGAAAGTAGGCAGATGACACAAATTGTCATTGATTTTAAATTGTCATAAAAGTATTAATTTATCTTATAGAACTGCGCGCAATGTATTGGAAATCAACAAAACTCGAAGGACAATATTCTTTCATTTTTTCCTCTTAACTTCAGAAACTCGATCAGAATTTAAGAAAAAAACATCACAAGAGCTCATACCACTCTTAACTACGTCCTATTTCCAAGGCAGCCCACCCTACCTTCTGCCCCTAGGTTGACCGATATCTATTCGATGTATTTTATTGTTAGAAATTCTCTAATACTGATAATTTTTTATTTGGTGCAGCAATACCAAGGACCACTGGTAACTTTATACCAAGTTGTTTCAAACAAATAAATTTTATTTTTCTAATCCTGATCATTTTTTAATTGATGCAGCAATACCAAGGACTAATGGTATCTTTCTATCAAATTGTTTCATATAAATATAAATTTTATTTTTCTAATACTGATGATTTTTTATTTGATGCAGCAATACCAAAGATCATTGGTATCAAATTATTTTATATTAATATAGTTTTTATTTTTTCAGGGAGATTTTGGTGGACCATTGGGGTCTAACAATCGCCTTATTGGAATAGCATCATGGGGTATCAACTGCGCCGCAGGAATCCTGATGTGTTTACTAAAGTATTTTCTTATCGTGACTGGATAAGACAACATACACGTGTTTAATTGCCTATCGGTAATTAATTAATTTTAAATAGATAAAAATGTTTTTCAAATAGATAAAAATAAAAATATCGAATTTGAAATGCTATTTTGAAAAATAAGCATGATAAATGTTTTAAAGACCTGATTTATTTAGATCCAGGCGATTACAATTTTATTATCTATAGCTAAAGTTTTTTTAAATATATGGTCTAATTAATTTGAGCTTGTCCGTGGTTCTGTAGTAAGAGCCTTGATCTTGCAACAATAGGTTCTAGGTTATATTCCCATCTTGCACTTAAAATCAAGCAGTAATGATTTTTTGGTTTTATTGCTCAATATAGATTCAAATATGATTTTCTATTGCCCATTGGCAGATACATCAATAACACACTATTATTAAGAGAA